GGGGGGGGGGGGAACAACACCTGACAATATCAAAGTGCTATCAAGGACAGGGATCAACCGGAATGTTGCTGGTAGAAATGCAAATGGTGCAGCCATGATGGAAAACAGTTTGTTAGTTTTAAAAAAATTAAACATAATCTTGCCATACAACCCAGCAATCCCACTCTAGGAGTTTACCCAAGTGAAATGTAAATCTGTGTTCATACATAAACCTGTATACAAATATTTGTAGTGGTTTTACTTAAAATAATCCTAAACTGGACACCAACGTGGATGTCCCTCTATGGGGATATGAATAAACGAATTGTGGTACATCCATACGACGGGATCCTATTTCACAGTAAAGAGAACAAACTACTAAAACACCCAACAACCATCTCTAATGCATTGTGCTAAGTGAAAGAAGCCATACGGCATCATTTCTGTTTCTTAAATCCTCACCTGTTTTTATGGATTTTAGAGAGAGGGGGAGGGAGAGAGGGAAAGAGAAAGGTCAGTGTGAGAGAGAAACATCATCACCGGTTGCATCCCATACTCACCCCGACTGGGGCTCAAACCTGCAGTCTAGGCATGTGCACTGACCCGGAACCGGACCTGCAACCTTTGGATGCACAGGACAACTCTCCAGCCAGCTGAGCCTCCCAACCAGGGCTGGCATCATTCCATTTTTATAACATTCTGGGAAGGGCAAAACGATGGAGGGGAAAAATATACCAGGTCAGTGTTTGCTAGAAACTGAGGGCAGGATGAGATGACTGCCAAGGGAAATGGGAAACTTTAGGGGGTAAGGGAATATTTCCATGTCTTGAATATGGTGCTGGGTACTCATCCCTACGGGTATGTCAAACTCCCAGAACTTCCCATGGAAAAGAGTGAATTTTACTCTATGTAAATCAGGCCTTTGTTTATTTAATGGAAATACAGGGTGGGACCAAAGGGAGTTTGCAGTTGTTCGTGTGGAATTAATACAATAATTAATAAATAATAACACAAGAATAAACTTGGTGTTTCGAGTACTCACAACTGTAAACCTCCTTTTGCCCTGCCCTGTAGGAAAAAAAACCAGAAAAATATAATACTGTGTTAAATTATTTTGTAGTAAAAGAGTGAAGTATACACATTTTGAGAGAGTTTGGGAAATTCTTCCATGCTTCCCTCGAGGCACACCGAGAGCAGTCCATACCCTCTGTCAGGAAGAGAGCGCCCGGGTTCTCACGGCCCCTCAACACAGGGCGCTGGCACCTCTCCCGGTGCCTCGCTCGGGGAGGGCATGTGGCAGGGGCCCGAGGGCTGCCCAGCAGGGATGGATGAGATGCCCACCCCCGAAGCCGGTCACTGTGGTGGTGGAGGAAAGGAAGGAAAGGGGGGAGACAGCGTATGTGTTGGGAGGTGAGATAGCCTCGAACTCGGGGACCCGAGGGCTGGGGCAGAAGCGTTGACAGGGAAGGGTGGCTGAGGAAGGCAGGGAGGGTCTTCTGGGAGCTGAGAGGTCTGAAGTGACAACTGGATCTCATATTTCTACCCCACGCCTAGCGCCACCCATAGCACAGAAGACTGTAAGATTGGACGGAGGAAGGGGTGAGCAGACCAGTAAGTGAAGAGACTAAAAGTTCAGGGTCAGCAAAGATGAAAATTTCCCTGGTTTGGGACTTGAGGCTCAAACTCAGTTTAAGACTCTGGCGGGCCATGCAAACCCGAGGACTTTTCACTCTGGTCCCATCAAAGGGCAAGAAAGTTGGCCCAGGTGAGTAGGGGGAGCACACATGGTCAGGGGGCTCACCCCCAAAGGAGCAGATGCCAAGCTCTTGGCTGTCAGTGTAGCCTTCTGATTCTCAGCCCTGGCGACGAAGAGAAGGGTGGGGTCTTGGGACAAATGCTGGGTCATTTTAGCTGGAGCCTGGTGGCTGTATAGGAGAGATAGGGTTGAGCAGAGGAAGTGGAGTGGGCTTGCCTGGGTGGTGCTGGGGCGGGG